TGATAAAGAAAATAACGACTTTGAATATAATAAAGAAATCGTTAGTAGATGAGAGCTAGACTAAGAGCGACGTAGAACCCATCTAGTTAGACGTATCTTTTCTGTTTTTGTCAGTTTCAATTTCATTCCTCGGCCTGCTTCGGCCACGTCGAGAGTTTCCTGACCAGACCGGCCGTAGAGGCTGACATTGTCAACTTTTAAAAAATGAAAATGGCGTTGACGGCTGGCGCGGTAAGCGCCTTTTTAATTTTATATTTTTGTTATTGTTTCTGCCGCGGTTTTCGATGTTGTTGATGTTTCTTATGCATGTCCTTATTGCCTGCCTTTTGTGTGGGCCCCAGAGGTGGCAGCGGTGCGTCCACTTGGCCAACGCCGGCAAAGAGTCGCGCCAACTTTTCTCTTCCTTGAGCTGGAGGAGGGCAACTGCCCCCTGTGGGTCTGGGTCTACGTGCCTGCGTTGCATCAGCCACGGTGCAACTCTTCCCTCTCCAGCCCCATCGCCATCGCAAGGCCATCTCTCACTTCTCCGGCAAATCGCCCGCTTGTTGCTCTCGACTCCCAGGCGTATTTCTTGGGAAACTTTTCTCGCATTCGCTATCCCTTTCCATCGCCGTCCCTGCCTCTATCTCTTTCCCGCAAGCCCTGCTCCGCCGGCTTCCTTTTTATTTTCTTTTAATCATATTTAATTTTTTTAGCTTTTTCATTCTCGGGCTTGAGTTTTTTCCTCAGTTTTTCTCTTCTTTGGCTGTTTCTTTGCCGACTTTTCTCGGTGGCTCAGAGCAACTTGCTGCTGATTTCTGGGCGCCTGTTCCACCACTGGACTTGGCCGGCCATCAAGCTGCCTGTCTCTCGCCTCCGCTATTGGCCACCTCGTGGCGCCTCGCCTGGTGGTCAAGTTGTATTTACACTTGTAGCGCATTGATTTTTTCGTTTTCTTTTCACGTTTTCCGCTACTGTCCGCTGAGAAATGCCTTTGTTTCCAAAGAGGTTTGTTTTCAGCCATTTTTTCTGTAGACATTTTAGCGTTTTCTCTTCCGTTGTCTTTGCCCTGTCAACTTTCGTCCAGACTTTTCATTTGGTGGGCAGGTGCTGCCATGAAAGCGCACATTCCTCTCGTACGCGTTCTTTTCATGCTTTGGACTTCTGCGCAGGATTTGATAGTATTTAAAATGAACAGCCTTTGTTCAATATATGATTCCTAAAATCACTAAAGATAATTAAATATAAGGCCAACGTCGGATTGCTTGCTCAGTGAGGGAGGGGTAAGGACGGGGCTCATCTACAAACTGGTACTACAAAATTACACGAATAGAAAAGGGCTGTGAGCAACTGCGACGTAAAGAGCTCCATGCCCCAGGAATCCCTCGGCCACCTGATATCTCGTTAACATGCATCAATAATGACCCAATCCCAAGAGCACCCTTCCCTTGCTGTGCCCCCGCGCGATGGAAAAGATACTCGTAGATAGAAACTCTTGAAACACGCTCCGCCGAGCCACTGGCAACGGACGGAGGACCTCGGACGCCGGCCAACTTGTGAGCTCTTAATTAGTAAATGCTGCCCATTATGGCGGATCCTGCTCCCTCCAGCCCCCACCCATTGCCACTAAAGAACATCTCGAGTAGCAAACAGACCAGAAAGCTCCTGCCCCTTCGCCCTCGCACGCTTCGCGGGACTCGTATATAACCCATACAAAGGGAATTTCATACATTTCATAATTATCAGGCGAGTCAAGAACCCCTTTATCACAAGCAGGCGCACCTACAAGCGCTCTTCCACCCACTAGACCCGTCGACCACCGACCACCCTTCTATGTGCAGCCAAAGGATAACGAAGGAGAGGGAAAAAAGACAGAGAGAGAAAGGGCGCATCTACGCCACCTCCTCCGCCGCGTCGTCCCAAACGCGCTCATTTTCGCGAGCGTGAAAAATTGAGCAACCAAGGAAAATACGGAAAAAAGGAAAATGTAGATACGTCCTGGGCCGGAGACATGCGCACGTGTGCCGCGGAAATCGCGCGGAAGGGGTGGAGCGAGGAAAGCCAGCTCGGGCCATGAACATTTCCACACTCGGCTCCGGCAGAAGACCCCACACAGCAGAGGCGGAGGCAGAGACGCAGCAGCCGCTGTCGTGAGCAGACCGCGCCAGGCACGCGCTGCATATGGCGATTCGAGGCAACGGGCACAGCACTGTTCACTCGAATCGAAAATCGAAATAGTTGGAAACTCAATTTGCATAATTTCCAAATAAATCCCCTCAAACGAACGCAGCCGAGAGGTGCATCCGGCAGGGGCTGTGACTATTGCCACCCCTTGAAACTGTCCCCTTTCTCTCTTTGTTGTAAGGTGTAAAAAATGTGTAAACGTATCCTTTATTTGTCCTTTGTCTGAACTGCATTTGCATATGAAAAGTGGCACTTTCGTGCGCTGAATCCATCTCATTTGCATAATCGATGCGCGCATGCGTGCAGTTTTGGATTTCGGCTGGCAATTCGATATGATTTCTACCCCTCAGATTGATCAGATCTGCAGTTCGAGGTCGGCCTACTTTCATGGACTTAATATCCAATATACGTATCTGAAAATTCAGGCTTGCAAATGCCTGATCGATAACCGATCATACTTTTTCTATACCGTAGGCATGGCCAACCATGTGGAACTAAATCTGAAAAAAAACAACATATGCATTAAAAATGCTGTATCCTTGAAAGCAAGTTCTGGGTAAAAAAAAAAACAGAGCAAGCTAGTCAGGACGAAGGTGCCCAGACAAAAGTGGGCGCGCAGCAAAAGGACTCTCTCCTCAGGCTCCAACAAAGAAGTGCCAGGGAAAGAAAGGAGCAAAGTAAAAATCGAAGAAAGACAATTAAAATTTATGGAGAAAAGGAGCGCAAGGAGCAAGAACAACGCTCGGGCAAACAAATCAAAAAATGCAAATGAGCCACAGAAGAGAAAACAGAATTAAAAGTAAAGAAAGGCAAACAAAACGGTAACAGTAGGCTGGAAAAATGGAACTAAGGCGAACCAACTAAAAGAGGAAAGCGGCCGGGATATGACAACCCTTTTTCGGATTTTTTGGACAGAGTTTATATGTAGGCTGAATCCGTTCAAGCACAAATTTCGCTACCCAGATTGTCCAGTCATATGGTATAGGGTAAGGAAAGGATTGGATAGATTAGAGACTGAAGCGTAGCTTCCTCCATTTTCCCCATACGTCAGCCGCATTCTTGGGATCCCGCCTTCGACCAATGTCTGGCTTCGGCTGCCAACACACGGCTGACCTCGCCTAATCCATCCGAGCACATATGTGGCCGTGTGTATATACGCAGTTATACGCTGTCCCATGTACTCCTGTATTGGTGAGCGAGAGATTTGCGCCAACAAATCGAAATGTTGCAAAAACGTGCTCATATGGCCCACACACACACACACACTCGAACGCAGGCACACACATGCTGACATACACATCCACCCTCCACCTTCCGTTCGGAATTTCCCGCAACCGCTTTTCCGATTTCCACAAAAATCGCGCTCAACTAGGGGTTGGTTTTTCCGAACTTCGCGATGTACATACAAATATTTTTTGTTTTCCTCTTCTCTTTCGCACACATGCCCGAGAGCGAGAGACATATGCACATATACATACGTATGTACTGCGTGTGCTATGTGTGTAATATGTTGTGTATATGATTTTTTGTTGTGGCTCTGCGCCAACGCCGAGCTCCTTGCGCTCCACCCCCCGAGTTCCTATGTAAAGGCCTGCATGCATGGCACGGCACGAAATAGATAACATATTAAGAACTGAGCACATGCGACAAGGACAGCACCAGTCGTCCTGGCAGCGCTGCGGCTGAGAACCAGAGTAGCAGAGCAGCGACGCTGCGTCGCCGCTGGAAAAGCTCAAAGAGCTGCGCTGCCGCTTTCCCGGGCAGATGAGCAGAAGAGTTGTACATGTGTGGGGCACACACACAAATACACCCCCACGTTGGTCGGTTGCTTGGGTCTCGTTCGCTCTCTTTCGGATATGTCGTCTGTCTCACTCGCCGCTCTGTTCGTCTTCTTCTCGCTCACTGGGCCACTTTCCCCCATTCGTTCGACAGCGGGAAAAACTCAACTCGCAGCTTTTGAAATTTCCATAAGCTGGCAAAAAAGGGATATGTTGCTGTCGACGCCAGCGCCGACTGCAGCGTCGCCGTTTTCGGGGGGCTGTTAAAAAATGTTACACTCCACTCCCGCGCACTCGGCGGCTCCAATGTGTGACAACTGTGGGCCGCGAGTGAGTAAACTCCATGTGGGCCAGCGGCACCACTGGGGTGGGTGTGCTTTTCCTTCCAGTTCTTGTTGTTGCGATTTCCCTGTTGTCTGGTGGTGGCTATTACTCTTTACGGGCATTCAGAGCCTCCACATGAACACAAGTGTGCGTGTGTGAGTGCGCACGAAGCGATGTCAGTGTGTGTGTGTGCTCTTTTTGCTCCTTTCGTGTCCTTTCGGATCGCCTCGTGTCACTCGGCTCGCACTCGGCTGCGACTACGCATGTGTATGCAAATGTATTTCGTATACACATATACATAATAAATTTTTTTCGGTGTACGTGACGTGCGAGCACATCCTCCCCTCAACCTCCCGCCCCCACTAAGCCGATGTTGTGATAAGGGAAAATATATATTTTATATGATGAAGGAGTAACGACGTCGGCATCGCTGCCGGCGCTGCTGCCTCTGCCAACTGAGCTTCGTCCTGCCGAACGGAACGCCGCATCCTCATGTGATTCCTGTTTCGCAGGCTCCGACTGTTTGTGGCCCGCTGCTCATACGTGTGCGCGTACGTGGGCGGCTGTGGGCCACGCGGGCCAGGGGCGTGGCAACTTGGGGTGGCAGTGGGGAGCAGCGCGTATGTGCCGTCGCTGCCGCCGCCGCAGCTGGCGCTTCTGTTGGCTGCGACGCAGTAGCAGTGTTTTTTCAGGCCAGCCCGACATCATTTGAATTAGTCGCTTCGTGACGTTTGAACGGTTCGAGACATACACGCGACGCCCACATACGCCGAGCATTACCCGTTAGCCGCTACCCGTTAACCGTTGCGATGTTCAGCGGCAATCCACAACCCCGCCGCCAATAGAGTCCAATACTTGAACGATCGAGAAGTATGTTAAGAAACTATTTTACGCGAAATACGATCCGGTATCAAGTGTTCATTAGAGGATTATAAAAATACCCAAAGAAGAAGGGTTATTTTTAAAATTCCGACAAGATTTGCAAATTTATTTGACTTTTACTTTCAAAATATTTGAACGTATTTCATTTTTTAGAATTCACTGCATATGCATGACTATTTTCAAGTTTTCTAAATTTAGTGGTTGAGACTTTCGATCGGTTTTTGAAAGAGTGTAATCATTAACTTAACCCCATCTAAAATGGGATTGACATTATTGGGTATCCTAAACTATCTTAACCAAGACTGTTTCGAATGGAAAGCAACGATGTGTTTATAGTGTTACGAATATCGCGCCCCTCATAAACATAAACATGTGCGAAACCTTTCAAATGAAACCCGAAATCAGTTCCCCGAAAACTGCCAGCCAAATTAAAGGATCGATATGGCCATATAAACATACGAATGGGCCGCAAATTGACCTGTCAGCAGCCATTTAGGGAAGAATATCCTGCCCTTCGCGATCTACCTGTTCAGCTGGTCTGCATTGTCCTGTTTATTTACTTTCTGTGTGCGTGTGTGTGTGTCAACATACACGATCACGCACCTGATTATCACCTGAACGGCCGACCAGGGGAAATCCTTCGGCCCGCAGAGCGAGTGCGAGAGAAGTGCGAGAGCGAGTCTCTTTTGATCCCGTCCACCCCGACTCACACATGCACGCATCGTGTGGTGAGAGGTGTGGGGTGCGTGGTGTCTGAGGGTTGCGTGTGTGCGGGGTGTGTGGTGAGGGCCGTTCACTCATAGGTGAACACCGTCACCAACTTGGCGTGCATTTATTTGCAAGGATGTAGCTCAGTTTGCCGCGAACCCTCAACAGGAACGTGTTATGATCAAGGCTCGCGACCTGGCCTCGTTAGCAGTTTAATGAGTAGTGAATATTCGAGTGCATTTCGCACAGAGTTCGGTGTCTCGCGTACTGCCAGTAAAAAGGATTACCGTGAACACTTTCTGTTTAAGAATAGGTAGTGCAAGAGCAAATCATCTTGTCCTACGGAGGTGCCAGTTTTACTGAATACTTTGAATGGTATGGCTAAATAATTCGACTATCACAATTTCGATTCTGGGGCCATAAACATTTTGTATTTAATTTGAAAAGTGTGTTGCCTTCTGTGAATATGATTAGTTCCTGCCAGCAATAAGCTAATATGTTGCATTTTAAAAATATAGCAGTTGCTGATAATTCTTTTACTTTGTTTTATAAAATAATTTTGAGTTTGAAATCACACCCAACTTATTGGTAATGCAGCTTTTTAATGTAACTTAAGCTAAGTTTTCTGTAGAAGAAAAACAGAAAGATGGAGGGAAAATGTAGGTCCCTGATGAAAATTTAAAATTTAAAAAGCGTCCAAGCTTCGCCTCAATACGAAACCCTTAGCCACCTTCGACTGACTTACTTTGCCATTAATTAAAAAACTTGACAGTGTCTCTTCTCGGCGTTCCACTAACTTGCTTTTACCTGTCGCCACTCTAAAGCAAAATAAATAAATAAAAATGTTGTCTCAGCTGCCGCAAACCGCAAATGAGTTACGAGCGGAAAAAAAGGAGCAAGCCAAGCCAAACCCGAGAAAGGAGCGAGGTAAGCGCCCAGCAGCTCGCTGCTAATTGCACATTGTTGCATTCGAGCGTGGTTATCCTTTGGCTCTGGTTTTGGTCCCAGCAGAAAGTCCTGGCGTGGAGAAGCATGTGTTAATATGCGGTTTCCAGCCCCATCCGCCCAGCACTTACTGCTCAGCAACAGCAACAGCAACCGCTCCGAAAGGTACAAGGACCAGCCAGAAGATGCAGCAACTACGGCAAATAAAAATGTTTATTTTGCTAGCGCTCCTACCAAAGTTTTTTAATTTTGCCTAAAGAAGTCAGTGTGAGTTGGGCTCGAAAGTTTCCTATGCAGACAAAATCAGACAGCTGGTGACTCTTTTAAAAATTCACACACGCAGCGAGCGCCGCTTCCGAGTGGAAGGGGTGCGGAGTCATGCCAGACAGTCGCTGAATTAATTAGATGCCTCGCACGGGATGTGGCAAGCGCTCACATAATGAACTGCAACAGATCAAGGACTCATTATCGGCTCTTCTTGTTTCACCAACATTTCATGCTGATCACTTATTGCTACTTCAACAAAAAGCCAAAGGATTTGTCCGTTAACAAGCCTCAGGATCTTGCATAGAGCAAGGACCCTTGAGAATGCTGCCTCAGAGCCTGATTCATTCCACTGTGGCGTGTTTGGGGCACGGATAAACAAAGCAAGACAAAATCCGAGGCAGACGCATGCTGAGACAGCCGGGAGGGGGCAATGAGCCATTATCACACATCACACATCTGCATGTGATATCCTCGAGGATATGCGACACGACACGTAGCAACTGTGATTGCTTCACCTTCATACGTCTGTTCCCTGGCATTGTTTTCCTTTCCTTAACTCCTGCCTCTTGTTGCCTCTTCATTTTTGCCATTCTCAGCTCCGCAGCTGGCAAAATGATATATGCCGCGACTCATTAACATATTATCACCGAATGCCTCACAGCATATGTCATGAATACGAATACATTACGCCGGGAATTATCCTAAAGCTCTGCTTATTCGTCTCTCACCTAAACCTTCTCTTTCTCTCCCCGTTTCTTCCCTCCCTAGAGAAGCTGAGCACCTTGCACGTGACTGGAACGGGGCATGTTAAAGGACGCCAACCAGGAGTTGATGAAACATCGCCCTCTGACGACACTCCCCATGACCGACTACGCTCGTCAGGTGGCGCCCATACAGCTGCCTCTGCCGCTCCAACTGCCTCTTCCGCTGACTATGCCGCTCCCGCTTTTGGCAAAGACTCCGACTACCGATCACGCCCCTATGCACTCTACGCCTCCGACAACGCCGCCCACCCCGCCTCCACGGCCCTTGAATATGAGTCAAGCGGCAACGGGGGCAACAGAAGCGGCGACTCCCTCAGACCACAGTCCCCCGGCCACACCACCATCAGAAGGGGCTCCTGCTGCAAGCTCGGCCGCACAGGACCACTACAGCCTGCGCTGGAACAACCACCAGAACCACATCCTGCGGGCCTTCGATGCACTGCTGCAGACCAAAACGCTAGTTGACGTAACCCTGGTCTGCGCTGAGACTTCGATCCGGGCCCACAAAATGGTGCTTTCCGCCTGCTCCCCCTTTTTCCAGCGCGTCTTCGCGGAGACGCCTTGCAAGCATCCAGTTATCGTACTCAAGGACTTCAGGGGCTGGGTGGTGCAGGCCATTGTGGACTTCATGTACCGCGGAGAGATCAGCGTCCCCCAGCATCGCCTACAGACGCTAATCCAGGCCGGAGAGTCGCTTCAAGTGCGAGGACTAGTAGAGAGCTCCGTGCCGGAGCACACGCCCACACCGGCCGCCTCGCCTGATGATTTCGGGATAATGGAGACATCGATGCTGTCCTCCAGTTTTGAGGACGAGTCACCATCAATGGTCCGACCCTCTGCGGCTGGGAAGCTGATGATGCCCTCCGCCCGACTGTTCGGCAGCTCCTCGAACGCTATGACTGCCCTGAGCCTTCGACGAAAGCGAGATCAGGACTGTGACCGCGAGTTGGAGAGCGACCAGGAGCTGGGCGGCAGCTCCCCAATGCCGCGACGCAAGCAAGCACGACCACGCCGCCGATCTGGCGATGTTCCCCACGACTTTGCCCTGAACAAGACCGAAACAGAGGCCCTCCAAACTGTGATCAAGCATGAGCTGCTCGAGCGAGCGGAAAGAGATCACGATGAGGATAATGATCAAGATCACACCCACAATGAAGCCAAGAAAAGCGGTTCGTCGTCAGCGGAAACATCGATAGACCACACTAAGGAGAAGAAAGCATTGAAGCCAGAAGGAGCCGATCAACCCCTCAACCTCAACGAGAGCCACCACCGACTCGAGCTTGACGATGAGGAGGACGACGATCAGGATCATGAGGAAGAGGAAGAAGAGCAGGACATTGAAGAGCTTATTCACACGACCAACGAGCTGAGGCGTCAGGCTGCCGCGGCTGCTGCAAATGCGGCTGCCATGTCGCCCACCCCCTCGCCATGTCCTAGTGACGGGCCCGAGGACCTCTGCACCACCAAGAAGGCCAAGGACGGGAACACCAGTGCCGCCCACTCGTCCGACTGTGAGTCCAATAACAACAACAGCAGTAAGCTTCAGGACAACAACCAGCGCATAATGTTGTCTTTGAAAGACATCCGCCAACTGAACGCCAACCCGAACCCCACTGCCATCCACACGCCAACCAGCTGCTCTGGAGGCAACAGCGGACTGCTCAGTTTCCCTCCGCCGGGTCTCCGGCCACCAGGACTCCCGGACAGCCCGCCCTGCCACATGGAAGCGCTAGAGGCTCAGATGCACGCGGCAGCGGCTGCAGCCGTGGCTGCTGCTGGTGCGGGCGAGCATCCCTTCCACCACATGGAGCACCAGATGGAGATGTCCTTGGCTGCAGCAGCGGCAGCGGCTGCAATGCATCAGCGAGAGCCACGGGATCCTCGAGACCCGCGCGACCACAGCGCCTTCGGAAGCAATCTGTTGGGGCCAATGGGGATGCCCCCATTCGTAGGACATAACGGGGGACATCCGGGCAATAGTGGCCCAGGAAACGGATGTCCCGGACAGGCTGCCCATGAACGACTCGAAGAGAGTATGAATCGTCTGAGCAAGGAGCTCGGAAAGGAGTTTGGGAAGGACTTCGGCAAGGAGTTCGGGAAGGAGTTCGGGAAGGAGTTCGCCCCGGCATCGCCGATGAGTCTGCCAGGGCACTTCAATGCACCGGATGGACCTCCGCATCCGCCGTCACCACTGCCCTTTCCTGGCATGTCCTCTGCGATGACGCTGACGCCGCCGCACAGTAAGTACACAGTTTGAATCTAATTTCGTTTGACTTTAGCCACTCGAACCCGCGGAGGTCACTAGGTTATCTTTCGGATTGAAAGTCTACGCCCAGCGGAAGTCTTTAATAACGCAAACCCGCAATCACCTGCTCACGTACAAGGGTGTTCCTCCCCCACACTCCAGCTCAGAGTATCCTTCAGTCCTGCTTCGCTCTTTTCTCTCTCCCCCTCCGCCAAAATCGGCAGAAATGCAACATGTGGTCTCTGCGCGACATCAAAGTGTCGTCAAGTGACGAGTATCCTTGGAGAAGTGCTCTTGCACTGCCTCGCAAAGCTGTCGCAAAAGCCCCTAAGCCCATTACGGCTCCTCAGGCTCCTTTGCCTTTGATATGACCAGTTAAGCACTCCGCACCGAGCCCGACTCCGTCGAAAAGGAGCTTGCCTTAAACGTTTCCGCATGTGGAATACCTGCCAGTCCACTGTTTCGTTTTTTACACTAATTAAGTCATAAAAAGTTTTCGCTGTTGACAGCTCCCAAGAAATATGGTAATGGAACCGTATGAGCAATGGCTCCTAATAATTTGACAGTTTTCCAAACGGTTCTGCGCTGACAACGCCGTCTGGGGAGACGCCACCAGGAAGGGGATTGGGAATGCCTTTGCGGTTGGCGCCCGGGTGAACTGCAGTCGAAGTAAATTCAATTGCGTTTTATATGATTTTTATATTCATGTCACTCGGAGTCAGGCGAAACAAACGCAAACACAAATTGAGGTGCAAAGGTTGGAAAAGCGAGGGCTGGGCTTGCTTCCGCCGTTGCGTGCAGAAAGCGCAAGAAATTTATGTTGTGTCTTCTGAACATGTGAGTTTCCGAGGGGCTGGGTTCGAACTGTCAGCAGACGTTTAGCCAAATGACTTTTAAGTTGCCTGGCTGCCGGGCAGGAGACATCACTCCTCGCCCGCCTTACCCCTGCCGTTTGTGGCCATGTGTTGTGTTTAAAGTATGCCAAAGCGCGCACAACTTAAACCTTTTGGCAAATAACTTTGGCAGCGTCGGCGGCATAAATAAAAATACGTGGCGACGTCTCGTGGTTGGGCTGCCCCAGCCCCTGCCTCGGTCTAGTCCTTCCACACAACTTGTGCATATAAGTCGCGCGATATTCATATTAATAATATCCGTTTGGGGAGGCCCTTGCCAGGCCAGGCCAAAGCAGAAGCAGAGCCCAAGGACCAGGACCTTCACCTGGGCGACAGAAGGGCGGCTGGCGGGTACATGCAGCGAGACGCGCACACAGGATATAAAATAAATTAAGGCACAAAAATATGAAAAATTGTACGAAAATGCCAAGTGGAAGTCAGGCAGGAAGCGCAATACCTTTTAATGCGACAAAAATTTCAGCCAACATATCAGAGCAGGCCGAGGAGGCGGTAAGGGGTAAGGGCAAGTAAGTCGTTCCAAAGTCGCGTCGTATTCAAGCAAATCGCTAACTACTGCATAAACAGGCTGCAGGCAATGAAGGATCTATCCAAGGATATGCCGTGGCAAGAACTGTGCAGTCCCAGGACACAGGTGGTATCTGACTATCTATTACCCTGTCGAATTAATATAACTTCAACAAATATTTTATATTTTGTGTTGGGATTAGGGCTAGTCTTTATAGATTAAGAATTATAATTTATCCTAAATTCAATTTCGAGTATAGAGTATTAATTTCGTTTGGAATAAAAGGCACTGTTTTTCACTTACCTTTCTCCAAGCTCATGGTATCCCGCGTTGGTTGCAATAAGCCCCATCCCTAGTGGCGGCCATGCAGACAGTCCTGGAAGAGATTTACCTCCGCTTGTCGTTCCTATGAAGAATGTGATTTATTTTTTCTGCTGGAACATTTCGGCGTGAAAATCATTGAACTAATAGCTTGTGACGTGTGGTGAGGGCCGAGGCTTATCCTTCAGGATTTCAAAGGAGAAATCCACTAATTCTGCCCTTCGTCAGAATGAGTTGGAAGGAAAGAACGCGCATTACGTATACGCCGCGTGTTGTAATGTCTACTTCAGAACACAGAGCCAAACAATGTGCGCTCGTTATTTGTGTCATTATGCTGCAGATACAACACATCGCGAGACATAGAAACGGATACGTCCCCTTATTCATATGCTGGGGCATTGTCTTCGCCTCCTTCTGTCTTTCAGTCTGTATGTGAGCTCGTCTGCGTGGCGGGTTTGTTTGCATCTTGGAATCCGCGGCGCGACTTATGAAATCATTCAGCACAATGTCAATATTATGCGTTGCCTCCCATCTGAGTGAAGGTCCTCTGCGGAGTCCTTCCTGGGCTATCCTTCAGACCTCGGCTTCGCTCATCAGCGCTCCAATTGTTTCACTCATGTGGAGAAGTGCACTCCAAGCGTAAAATATTAATAGAATAACGATGTGCCATTGTTTACTATCCGGTGGAACCGTTTCGCGGAGTGTGTTTGCGTCTATTGTCTTGGCGGCTAATCAGCGTCAGTGGGCCGGAAAATGAGCCGCTTATGCTGAAATTACCCAATGCATTTGCCATAAATATAAGTTATTTTTAATATTGGAAGAATTCAATACTCACCGACAACACTTTCATTTGCAGTGTTCGGCCTGGACTCCCCCCTCGGACTCTTTCCGCCCGGAATGGATCCTGGCAAGCTGTACAACCCACTAATGGAAATGAGCGATCCAAGGGACATGCCAGGCGGACCGCCTCCGTTCCTAAAAAAGAAAAGTAAGTACAAGTAGCCCATGAAATAAGTGTATAGAACAAACTTTCGCCAAGCCGAGCAAACAACTAATTAACCCAAGAGACATGGCAGACCCCAGAGAAGGAACAGCCAACACCTTCCTACCGCTCGAAAGGTTTGAAATCATTTTGACATGATTGGCGTCGATCACGTTGGGGCAGTCGAGTTTGTTTTCCGATCGGTTCCGTGCCTGGCTGCAATACTTCACACCTGACTGATTGATCTCGCGCTCCGGCTGCAGAGCCTAGGCCGAGTCTTCAACCTTTGTGCCTCTTGCATTTGATCTGCTGCACTTTAGATCACGTATTTGAGCTGGGGCACTGGGAAACACTTTGGCTGCGGATCGATTGCGGGTAATTGAAGAGCAAATAGAAAGGGTCACAGCCAGGTTTATAAGTGCTGGGCTAAACTATAACTGATTACATTATCCTAATTCAGTTACGAAATCCACTAAGAGGGATAGCTCGTGTTTTGGCCGAAATCCATGAGCCGTGCCTTTCGAAAATTACTGTTCGAGTCTGAACAATGAACCCGCCAAGACTGCACTCATTTATGCCACATTCTATGCGCACTCTCCCCACACCCTTCGCCCCTTCCCGATCCGTTCCAGATACGATCACCGATCTCCGATCACTGATCACTCGTGCGATCATGTGAGGCGGCAAATTTGTTTCTGCGGTTTTCCTGTGCACCGATGCAATCGCGAAACGTTCAAGGAATGGTTTGTTTGTTTCTTTATTGGTTTCTTGAATGGGGCAACATGTGCACCTATGCAGAACACGTAAGCGTAAACGTCGCTTTTTCTGATTGACAAATGGGCGAGGCAAGGAAGTGAACTCGAGGTACTCGCAGTCTCAATAGTTTTTATCGACTCACCTGCGGACGATGTGAAGCAAGTGAAACCTCAGAGAGTGAGTTAAGCTTTTTTCTCTTCGCTACACACATTCACCTGAGCCAGGAAATCAATATTGTTTCCCATTTCCCAAATAAATGTAGCTCACAAGTCAATTATGGCCAGCTAGCCCCTGATTGACAAACGAAAAGTGACGGAATAACAGAAGGGGTAGATAGGAGATATGAAGACAGACTTCTTTGAGCTATAAGCTGCATATGAGATTTTTGCTTTGACATATCATTTGACAGTCGCCGTCTATCGGCGCTAAGTGCTTGAAAATCTTACGATTTTTTAATCCTACGCATCTAGACCAATGCTTTCTAACCCTTCTAGGCGCCATATCAGAGCGATCGAGGCTTGTGAAAGCCAAATGAAATCTCACGCAGTAGGTAATTTCTTAATTTTCCGGTACTCAAGAGCACATCAATTGAGGGAATAACCAGCCCAGAGTCGTGATCATATGTTGGGAATGTCAAGTTGAAGAATATCCAGAAGATTTGTTAAGTGTTATCTAATCCGGATCTCCCAGCGTGTTGAATGATGCCGAATTACAAGCACAGCTACAACAATGTAAGCCGCCGAGTAAAACGCAAATCTGGCGTATAGCACGATATTCTTTATTGCAAATCTGCAAAACCCGTTTCGCAACTGATACCAATCGGGAGCTGGGGAAGCGCTCCACTCGCAACTCCGACGGGATCCCCTTGTGCTCTGCGGCCCGCAATCGTGTGGGTGTGATTAACTGATTTGTTCACATTCATTTGTTCATTCTCCGATTGTTTTGAGCCCGTCTGCGAAACGTGATTTGCGATTTGTACCAAATTCAAATTTCGTTTATGTGAAAACCCGATTTGGCTAACAGTTAGGACTAGTGGAACTTCATTAGGCAGAGTATAGGTATTCCAGGCTTACCAATTGCAGTTTGCTCTTGGGACCAGATATTTTCTGTATTTTCGATTTCACTGGAATCGAAGGGTCAGGCCTTGCTTGTGACCCAGCTGGAGCAGGCAGGGCGGGAATGCAACTTCCCAATCTCCCAAATGGAGGAAAATTCATATGATCAGGCCAAAGCGACCAGTGAATTAGTGTAAGCTGGAGTCACATATTCACCGGCACATGGAGGTCTTAGGTGCACCCCTCCTCCTTTAAAGGCAAGCAGCTGAGGGGTTTTAGGAAAGGAACCTGTACCTTTGCCGCAGGTTTCGCCGGTGCCAGGCGATATCTGAGGATCTAAATTGAGTTTTAGCGGCGCATGTGACGCCGCAGTCGCTGCACACTTAATTTGCATACAGAGGAGAGCCGTGCGAAGCCGGGAAGGTCAGATTGGGAACCTCCACAGCGTTCGAGTTTCTTTAGCAGTGCCGAAAGATCGCTCGCCCCGAGAATAGGTGCCACACAAAGAATCGTAGCAGGGTGTGTTCCAGCTAAAGGCAAGCCGAAGTTGACTGCTCTGCTCTGCTCTGCTCTGCAAATCCCAGACAATGGGTGACTTTTCAACAAATTTGTCTAGGCAGCATATGAGGCCGAGATTGAAACATTAGCAGATGCAAGCCGAGCGATAAGCTCGACCTGATGGAGCCCTTGTGGTTCCTCCTCCTTATTCCTCTGAGAAGCCACCTCCTAACCCAAGTCTTTCCCTTCTCTTGCAGTGCCACGACCAAAGGGACAACACTCGGCTCCTCGCGGTGGTCCGCCTCGCTCCTGGACCAACACAGAACTGACGGAGGCACTGCAGCACGTGTGGAACAAGAAGATGACCACGTCGCAGGCCTCGCGAATTTTCGGTATCCCCTACAACTCTCTACTTATGTACGTGCGGGGCAAGTACGGAAAGAGCTTAAAGCTGGAGCAGCTGCGCAAGGACTGCATCAGCGGACCACCGATCGAGATGCTGCAAATGGGCATCGGAGGAGGTAGTGGTGGCGGCAGCGGATCCAATAAGAGCGAGAAGAGTAAGGAGCGCAAAGAGAAGGATAAGGACAAGAATTCTGCGAGCAACAACGCCTCAGGTGGGTCGAACAATGCCCAAGGTGGAGGTCCGACCCCTGGCAACGGATCTTCAATGCCGCATCCCGGAGAACTAGGCCCTCTGGGACCGCTAGACCTGGAGCTGGGTCTCCCACTTGGTCCCCCTGGAGGTCCACGCAGTGGCAGTTCCGAGCCCGATCTACTGAGCGGCCCTAACGCCCTGTTCAACCCTTTCAACCCGCAGGGCTTCTACCCGGACTTCGCCGGCGGCTTTCCCGGCCTCCCCTTGAGCATGTTGAACCTGCTGCCACCGACAGAGCGTCACCACGCAGCGGCCGCCATGCATCACCTGGGCGTGACAATGGACGAGGACTGCAAGTCTGTGGGCTCGAAGCAGTCCTCCTCCATGGACGACGACTACGCGGGCCCTGGGATGCCGCTCTCGCTGGAGCAGCGCAGGGAGATGAACGCGACGGGCCCTCCAATTACGCAGTCAAACGGGGGAGCAGGGCAAGATTGAAACTTGTGGCGGGATTGGGCAACCGGAGCTGCCAGCACCAATCCAATGTACTTCCCTGCTTTCGATCCGGACCACGAGCAGAACCCAACGTCGCAGTCTCTGCCAACACGTCCCTCCGTGCACCAAATGGCCTGCCGTGAGCTCAGCTTTAAGCCGGACCTGTTCATGGCCAGGCGCAAGCTAAAGCGCTTCCGGGCCAAGCGCCAGCTCCAGGCGCAGATGGAGACGCAGCCGGCAGCCGTTCCCGCTCCTTGTCCTGTCAGCCACACGCTGCCTCCGCTCCGGACTTGAATGTGAACTCGAATGCAATATGTCTACTATTAGTTGATTGTTTTTGTTTAGAGGCCCCGATGGACTTTTGATTTACGAGGATTCGGTTTCCTTTTGTTTAAGCAAAGTTGTGTATATTTTGCTGGTGCTTTCAGTTCCTATTCCCGATTACATTTTGATATTTTGCAGTTAATTTTAACTTTAATTTTAAGTAATCCAATATGACAAAGCTTACAAAGCATTTGAGGCAATACGTGAAACATATATTACTCCCTGTATTATTGTATAATTTAAGTGCGGAAGGATTATAATCAAAATGAGAGAAATTCGGAGGAGAAGAAAAGTTGTATATAGGCGGAAATCCAAACCAACAAGCAGCATTATCTCTGGTGAGGCTGTGGCACCGACTTCCCCGACCCGCTCGGTCGGGGATTGAGGCGGAGCAACCTCACTGCAATTAGTAGTATCGACGATGACTGTACCAAAATTTTTAATGTTATTTTATAAAAAACGAAAATAAGTTGTAGAGTTAAGTGTTCTCGTAGGCAATTCGTATTTGTATAGAAAACATCAGCACCAACGTCCTCACTCATAGTTGTGCACTCTCCCCTCGCCCCTCACCCCTAACTCCACACTCCTCACCACCCAACACACACATGCACATTCCTAGTTAATCGCAACGCCGCTTTGTAAATCCCCGCCAACCTCATGGATGCCCCCAGATCTGTCCGTTTTGTAATCTTATTTGTAAAGAAGGCAGCAGCCAACCGACAAAGAGGCCCACAAAGCGACACCTTCCCGCGCAGTGTTGATATAAGCTCAAATAACATATTTTAATATTAACTACTAAACAGGAACTTATGTAAGTAAATAATATTAAAGTGTATGCATTACAATAAATAGTAAAAGTTATTAAATAAAACGATGAAAGGTTATCTTTGAACAAAAGCTGGGCTTACAGGGAGCTTACAATTTATTTTATTGGCCAGTCACATTGCATAGGGGAACCCCCTGGATTTGAATTGGATGTTAGGCACAGAACCCGGAAGTGGAACACGAAAGTGATTCAGTCCGTCATAATTGATCTTTATAGCTCAAGTAAATAACAATCGATCTAGTTTACATCAACATTTGGAAAAGAAAAATTTAGAAAGTTTAACGTACTTAATACTTGATTATCCCCCCTTTTCTTTCCACTGAATATTTATTTTTAATATTTTAAAGATTTAAGAAGAAGAAGATAAACTTCACTTATTTCCGATATTTACATTACATACATTTACCTTACGTGCAACAATTACATGCGCCCTCTAGAATGTATCCTACTTACATTTTACAAAACGAATCTTTTAAGGGCAAGTAATGTCCACAGAGGGCGCACAAGTTGTCCACCACTAGAGGGAACTTCTCTATCTTTACATGGCGCTTTACAGTTAAGCGTAGTTCACAACCTTTTTAGTGTACATTAAAGGGGCAGCTCCTATAGTTGCGAATGTTTTTTCAATTAAGAAACGTCATATATTCCTATTTAAATCTAATGTTTTATAATAATTAACAGAACAACATAAAAATAATAAGAGAAATATTGTTTGGATGGTCTCTGAGTCAGAATGGCAGTCAGGCAGTCTAATCCTCAGAGGTCAGAGTCTGCTCGGTGCAAACTTTATCGCGCTTTTTCCCCTGCTAATGCATCCCAATCTCGTTGCTGCTATTGCTGCTGCTTCTTCGCTCGGCCAATGAACTGGCAAGGCAGTCAATGGATCATTAACTCTAGAGAGCCGTGGCCAAAGCTGCAGCTGTAGTCTTCGTATCTCAGACGGAATTCTTAATATTGTTTACAAATTCTAATAACACGGAGTAGACAAGTCTCCTGCGCCGTTTGTCAGTATTTTTAATATGCCAACACCGTTATCGCGAGTGACTAAGATTATCTACACGTGCTGACTTTGGCTTGTTTGGAAGTCGTCTTACGTTCACCTGGGAAGGTCGTTTTATCCACCACTGCTAAACATTGAGTTCTGAAAATAAACTGATCAGGACAAAATGGAAAAGCCGAAGTCGAGATGGTCACATTGCAGAATCAGGCGGCAAAGACTAAGGCAGTGCATGGGGATGAGGGCGTGGGCGTAGGCGTAGACATGTGACATGTGCAACGCCACAACACTAGGCCAGGCTGCAGAGGCCTAAAAATAGCAAGCTAAGCCTTCAGTGGAAGTGTTCCAAAGCAAAAACACATTTCGATGCCGCTCAGTTGTAGCAAACCAGGGTATACTGAGCCCTTGATAAGACTTGTTTTGTAGCTCCACACATACTCTATTCTTATAATTATATCGATTAAGGTTGTTTATTTATTATTTGGTTGCTGAATTATTAGAGGCAAGTACTAACAGACCATACACACATTATTTTCATTTAGATTTCATATAAACTGCTGGGTATAATCACTTCGAATACAGAAGTTAAGACACAAATGTATTTCACTGGATGGCTCCGCGCTCTTCTCTGCCGCTTGGGGCGCGTGCGTGGTTTGGTTCGTATTTTTGTTTCAATTTCGAAATCGAACAGAGGGTCTCTCGCTTTGAGTTCTCCGGCTGATTGAATCACCCTTTCTCTCTGCTCCCGCTCTCTTTCTCTTGGCTGCGTACTCGTTTTCGATTTCGGAAATGTTAAGATACAACGCTATTATTAGCAGAGCGCGGTACAGGCCGCTAGGCCTGCTAGACAATGTTGTATGTTAACATTTGCGAAAAAGAACCAAACGCCGCTCTGCGGGAGAGCTAAAACAGAAAGAGAATCAGTTTGCACGGGCAACATTGTGGAGGGAACGTTCGGAATGTTGGTGCATCAATGTTGATAAGGCGACTACACACGCTCTCGCGAGTGGGGCCTCTCGCGCCGCTGCCTGGGACCACTGAATTCAGTTGGCGTTAGCTCTGCCGCTTGAACCAGCCAGCTGACGGAATCACTCTTTACCCGTACCTGCAGCGAATTGGATATCCGTCGGATGGCATCCGTCTGCTGCTAGACTGGTGCTCCGAGTGGCGCGTATCTGCGGATCTGTTCTAATTGTTTTCCGCCTCGGTTAGTCACTTGTTTTGTGAATAAGTAATTGAATCGGAACTAGCTCGGCTGCAGCTTGACAAAGGAAAGTGTCTGAAGAAAACTGCAGGGTCGCCAAAGCGCCTTTGCCAGTGTCTTGGAGATACAGGGGCGGTCTATAAAAAGAATACACATACCTGAAAATATTCCAATCGCGTCGCGTAACAAACAAAAGCGTAGATAAAGCAACAACAAAGAAAATATTACGAAAATCGCCACGAAAATTAAAAAGTGCAGATAAATTTCGATCGTACTAAAGCGAAGAAAGTATCTGCTGTTTATTTGTGTTGTACGTGTGTGTGTGTGTGGGGGTACAAACAGCTGTTGGGGCAACAAAAGCATCAGCCGCATCAGCAACCACATTTCCCGAGCTGTTCTGAAAAATCGACAATTTGTTATTCCTCTACCATTTGCTTCCAGGTGAGTCCACTTTTACACCCTGATAGCTGTTTTCTGGGCACTTTCCTTCAGCAAGCCCTTGTTCCAGAACGAAGATCAAAGAGATTGTAGTGTTGGGCAAAGTTTTCAGATTAGCGAAAGCCAAATCAAGATAGTCTGGGAAAAGTAGATTTGCTGATAATTTATGCAACAGGTAACGGATAGAAAGATGTAAATCATTCTCATATGCCCCTCATCTCAGTTAAGCTTGGGGTCAAACTTCCAAGTTTCAACTTTAGTCCCGTGAAATCGGAAGTTAGACATCACAATAGACAATTAACGCATTACCCTGTACAACAGGAACTTCGAATTCGCAGCCCAGTCATAGAAACTGAATGCAGCAGCGCAGCAGCTCAGCAGCAACAAGGAAAAAACCTGGAAAAATCAATAAGAACGCTCAAGCAGCGACCCCGCTGCTTGTTCTGCCACTACTGCACTGCACTCCGCTGAGTGACCGGCAGCAAATCGGACAACTCCTCAACCGATTCCAGCTCGGGTGTAGTAAGGAAGCACTAAGACACGGTTGAACCGAGCAAAGGATTGCCCATGGATGGTGATGACGAAGTGCAACCAAAGGTGGGACTTCCCTATTCAATAATGGGATTTGGCGAGAATCATTGCCATCTGGGGAAAACCGAAATCAGCAACAAATTTGGGGGCAGGTATTCAACCTCTGGATGTCAACGAAAACAAAACAACACCGTAGTTGAGAGTTGAGAGTTGAGAGAGAAAGGAGCGGCGCAGGCGCAGGGGCCTCCTCAACTCTCTTCCAATCTGCAGTTTGCTTAAACTAACATTCGAGCTCCCATTTAACCGTGTTTGTTGTCGTTACCCTTATTGTTATTGCCGTCTCTGGTCTATGGCTCATGCATTTTTGGCAACGAAGTGTGTCGCTTGTATGTATCTGTGAGTCTGCGAACTTGGCTGCACTCAACCAGCTTCCCTGGCAATGCCATTTTCCGTGACCCAAGTCAGAGAGCGAAATAAAAAGCTTCATGAAAACGAGTTTCCCATTTCGAACAACTGCAACTGCAATGACTGCATCTAGATTGCCCAACTGGCTGGGAGACGAACACTTTCGTTTCTAATACCAATTCAGATTTTTGGTTAACAGTTCTGACAACGTGTCCGTAGATTCTGTGGTAATAGCTCCCCTTCCATCGCCCCTTTAAGTGGGTCACTTAGAAATAATGTTCTTGACCAAAATATAGAGCGGATGCTTTCATAAAGGGAAACAGAAATCAAAGGGTGAAGACGTAGGGCTAGGGCGTAGGAGGAAAGCCCCACAAACTCGATACGTACATGTAGTCGTATTAGGCAAGGGAAAGTGAGGAGGCAGTACTTCCGCCTTGCATTTCAGATACCCCGTTATCAGCCTTTACCGCAACAGTACAAAGTTGACGCTGCAATTTTACACACTGCCTCCCAATTAGCCAACTCCAATATGTTGGACCCGTGGTCTTGATATCTACGAGTACATACAGTTGTTCTTTCGCCACCACTCCCTCCCTTTCCCATTCCTCGGCTCCGAGTGCAATGAACCCTCGTTGGAATCATCAGGGGAATTAAGTGAAAAGTATTTAATCGTTCTGGAGTTGTGATGAAACTTGCAGCCAGGGCGAAGTCAAGCGATTAAAGGTTGCGAAGAGCTGGGAGGAGGTTCTCCTGTGACGTGGAAACTGTGCGAGAGGGGCTAGCAGTTTGCAGTTTCCCTCTCAAAGCAGCTCTTTCCACAGCACTACTGGCTACTCTCACTTTCATCTTTATACGAGTATATGGGTCCCAGCATTAGTGCTTTATTAGCTGAGATAAATCTCAACTTGTAATCAACGGAAATGTCGTACCTGATCGTCTGTGCTTTCATTTTCCAGTAATTGAATGAATCTCCACAGCACAGAAAACTTTCTGCTTTCACACCAAGAAGGATCTAAAAAGTTGAGAATATAGTTTAGGCCCACTAAAGGGCCCACCAGGGTTTCACGGTCAGTATTTACTTCAAAAGATCCCCAGACTCGGCTCTATTGAATTTTGTTTAGACAGGAACTTTTCACTCTAACCAGATTTGCCGTGACATCAGAGTGCCAATGCCGGTGAAAGGCATAAAGGCACGCGTCGAGCGAGTAGTGGGAAATAAATGGTAATGGGCTCCTACTAGCGATCAGACCGGCTGAAAACGGGTACCGCAGCTGCTTCCTCATAGGAACCTGTAATTGCCGGCGATTTCTGCCGCTTTTAAGACGACGTCACAGTCACGTTCTGACTCATTAACGATTAAATAATTCAGCCCGGCCAGGCGTCAAGAATTCTATAAAAGCGGCACAAAAATCAAGTTGTGACCGGTTCATTCTAATAAAATGTTAACAAGCATAAATTGTTGATTGCATTAGTTCAATATCTGGGCGGAATCGAATAAGATCGTTTAACAAAGCGAACGAAGTCTTCCTTGCGAATAGGCCCTTGCCCGACAGCTTTCCAGAGTTTATCGATCAAGAATATTTCTAATTCGTTTACATATAGTTTTCAATCGTGCCTGAACTAAGATTACACACATCCAACGCGTTTTATGTTGGCCATAGAACGTGGGCTTCACCTGATGGGCTTCTGAATTCTAATTGGCCAAGGATGGGATAACAGTTCATTTACCTTTGATCGGTTGGATGGTCTTGCCAATTATTCAATTACCTTTCTGAGCCGTTTATTGGAAGCATCAAGTGTCTCGGCATTAACTCATTATCAAGGGAAATCTAATGGCTTTGCTCAGCCGCAATCGCGGACTTTCCTAACGGCACTCTTAGTGCTACATGTCGCAAAAGAGAAACAGAAATCACAGATTACGCTAATGGCTCATTAAGTGTCTCCGCCAATGCAGAAATATGTCCCATGTAGTGCCGGGGAGGGCGATATAGCAGGCACTACCAAACTTCGGTTTCCAAAACCTCGAATTCGGGAAGTCGGTTGAAACAATATCCACGGCCAAGGGCAGAAATACTTCAGATGAGTCATAAAGACAAGTGAGACACTTCCAGAGACTCCCACACGCGGCCAAAGTGCAAATTATGTTAATTGACAAACATTTATGGCATAATTGCGAAGCGAGAAATTACCGTAACGTCGACTCGCTTCAGTAAAGTGAAAGTGAAAATCAGCTAAATTGAGAATCGTTGAGATCTGCAACGGACATATAACCCGATATGGAGAGAAAGTAAACTATTGGGAAATATAGTTCAATTTGACGAAATAATGGTGGCCTCTAACATCATATCATATGGTTCATATGGTTCATATCGTTACATATGTCATAGTTCTGTTTGCTTAATTACTGGTCAGCATCCCTATTCGTCTGGACGTGGGACACTCCTAGCCGGGGGCAATCGCCTCGTTAGTCGATTTTAACGTGGCTTTGTGTGGGTAAACCCTCCCGCAACCACTTTTCACGCCCGAATAGAATCGAGCGAGCACAAAGTGAAGAGAGAACAAAGCTTATAGTGAAAGCGAGTTGTCAATGAACCTTACACAGAGAACAACAGAATGAAAATGAAAACGCGAAATTTGGAAAGCACTAAAATTTCGAACGCCTCGAGCGACAAGCTAAAATATGGTTTAAAAACTGTTTAATAACTGCTGTAAACTCGGGGCAGGAAGTACCCCCACCTGGAAGCTGGGGCTCGAAAGCAGACAGTGAATATGTCAAATCTATGACTGATCACTTTTACGTCACAGCACTCGCTAGACAAATTAGAAAAGCGTGCTAGGGAACTCTCACCGTCGCCAGATGGAGCCTACAGCTAGCGCCATTAGCCGGCTGATAGAATGATGGCAATGCGTCCAAAGACCTTTTCTAACGAAGTCTGTCATTGGGGCCAGTGACTCGAGCTGAAGTCAGTTATTCCCGCATTTGCACAGCTGGGGCCAGTTTAGACTTGCCAATATACTTAAATATAGCTTGTTATCGCCTTAAATGGTCCCCTTGAATTCTTAATTACTCGGAACGCTATCGGAGCTACGGAAAACAAGACATATTGAGGGGTCTAGTAATTATTAATAAGTTTCCTAACAAATAATTTGTGATAAAATCATGTACTGAGTGCAAAAACAGAGTGATAAAGGCAAAAACTTCGTATGGCTATCTGGAATATTAATAGAAGCGACCACTTCTGGCGTTGTTAACAATCTAAACAGGAGTATATGATAAGAGTCTGATAAGGGCCGGCCAATAAACTGAATCGAATCGCATTCAATGGTTCGCTGTCATAGAATATATGCCCGTAGAATGTATTGTTAGTAATTAAACTTTCCCAACGGTGCCTCAACGGTGGTTGTTTCAATTAGTTTGATCAAACAGACGGTACCTTAAACGATCAGAAAACATAACTCCTCCTCCTAGTCCCAAACACGACGTAGTACGTAAAGACGCCCCAACCGATGACTCACAATACCCCGCACACACCCTCAGTCACGAATGGACTCCAACCAGACTCCAGGAGTGCGTCGCTTTCGGCTCCCCATCCCGTTCCATCCCCGGCAGGGCGCTGCAGGAGATGCATTTGCATGCAAAGACAAACAGTAATACCTCCTCGTGGGCCGATGTCTCTGCAATGCCCATGTCTGGAATCCGACTTCCCAGGGCGACGTTAATTAAGGCGGCAAATGCTTGGGCGGAGACTGGGAACTATGCATTGGCTTCCCTTCGCGAGTACACATTGCCCTTGGTCGCTGCATAAAACTGTGCTATCGTACCTTCTATTGCAAATCACTCCCATTCTCTGTGCTGATAAGTATCGATGGTTGGCGATTTCCCCATTCGGGCAGCGGCATATTGGCCAGCACTAAACCATCTCTAAAGCGAACTCCATAAGTAGGAGGCATTCCTCACTGAGAAATAGAAGTGCCAGACAGGTGATGGAGGCCGAACAAGGAAGCTTTCGAGCCAGTCTCCCAGTAAGAAGTGCTACTCGGACTTACTTACCTTGCTTATTAATTGT